ACAACACACACACACAAACCTTAAATCCAACTTTGTTGGTGAGGGACATGAAAAAGTCGTCCTTCATCTCCTCCCGCGCGCGGGCATACACACACACACACACACACACACACACACACACACACACTCACAAACAACACACACACACAAACCTTAAATCCAACTTTGTTGGTGAGGGACATGAAAAAGTCGTCCTTCATCTCCTCCCGCGCGCGGGCATACACACACACACACACACACACACACACACACACACACACTCACAAACAACACACACACACAAACCTTAAATCCAACTTTGTTGGTGAGGGACTTGAACAAGTCGTCCTTCATCTCCCCCCGCGCGCGGGCACACACACACACACACACACACACAACACACACACACACACACAGGCACACACACACACACTCACAAACAACACACACACACACAAACCTTAAATCCCACTTTGTTGGTGAGGGACTTGAGGAAGTCTTCCTTCATCTCGGTGACGGCGACGCGGTCGTGGGGACGCTTGGGCCCGGAGCAGCACGGGACCACACTGGACAGGTCCAGCTCTACCACCTGTGGCAACACACAACACAGTTTTACAGCATTATTGAGAGCAGTTTTACAGTTTTCGATACAACACAACACACAGTTATAATCAATAAGAAGAGGAGGAGGAGGAATGTGGCAGCACACACACTGAGTTTTACAGACAACACAACGCAACACACACAGAGTTTTACAGCATTATTGATACCACATCTACCACCAGTGCCAGCACACAATGAAACACATCACACACAGTTTAACGGCATTATTGATTCAACACGATACACAGCTCTACCCCCTGTGGCAACACACACAACACACATTGAGTTTTAAAGCATTTTTGATACAACAGACACTCACACAGAGTTTTACAGCGCCAACGATACAACATCCACAACCTGTGGCACCACACAACACACATTGAGTTTTGCAGCGTTATAATCAATAAGAGGAGGAGGAAGAGGCAGAGAGGAAGGAGGAGGAATGTGGCAACACACCACACAACACACAGTTTTACAGCGTTTTTCATACAACACAACACACAGCTCTACCCCCTGTGCCAGTACACAACACAACAACACACAGAGTTTTACAGCATTCTTGATACAATACAACAAAACAAGAGTTTTACCGTACAGTTTTAAAAAAAGTCTTTACAGCGCTGTCAACAAACAAAATCCACCTCTGAAGTTTTACAGTGTTTTAAAAAAGTTTTACAGCGTTTTTACAAAGTTTTTCAGCGTTTACAAAGTCTTAAAACATTATACAGTTTTACAGCGTTTACAAAGTTTTACAGCGCTATCAACACAAACACAGTGAAGACTATACAGGTCAGGGCAACACAAAACACCCTCCTCTCAAGTTTTACGTTTTTAAAAGTTTTACAGTATTTTATAAAGTTTAACAGTGTTATAAAAAGTTTTCCAAAGTCTTACACAGCTATCGACACAAACACAGTGAGGGCAGAATGGCCTACAACAACAACAAACAACAACAACACCCACCTCAGAGAAGATGGGATCCTGGGCTGTGTTCTCGTAGTCTCGGAACAAGTTGTTGGCCTTGAGGTACGCCTCGATCACGCTCACCTTCTGCGCATCGCGACCTGGGGAACACACACACAAGTATGTACACAATGCAGAAGCTCTCTCAAAGTTGAAAAAAAACAACCCAACAAATCATCAACTTATATAAATATCTAACTGATTGTTCGAAAACTCCTCCCACATAAACAAATGACCTACTTGTCTGTCTCAGCTCCTCCAAAAACTTCTCATCCACAGCAAAGACACCCCCACCCACCCTTCCCCACACACATATAATATACAAATGATCCCCCCCCCTCCTACCCCATGAACACACACACCCAATACCTGTCTGACACAATAATACCCCCTCCCTCCCCTGCCTACCCCCACATACACATAAATAACCCTATCAAACACCCCACAATACATTCAGACACCCCAC